TTCTTGACTGCTGCTATCATGAGTGTTGCTTGTAGATCCAAGTCAAATGAAATAATTGACAACTTTAGTCTCTTATCCATGTATCACAATGGAATCATTCCCTCAAAATAAAATAATACCACTCTCAAGACAACTGAAGTTTAAAACACTGATAAGCTGAAGATATAAAATAGTCCCAAATATTTATAAATCAAATTCTTGATTCAACCTGTTTCTAGAGAAGTGAATGATGTTTCTGTCTCATTTATAAAAGAATACTGGTTGTCCCTACCTTTCAGTGCTGCTGTGTAGGAAGTATCCATCTGGGACAGATATACAATAGGAGGTTAATACATGGGCACTTTTGGTAAAAGGAAATAAAAATGATCGCTTCTGTCTCATTTCCATCTAAGCACTGTCAGTTCCATGGTCTGCCACCAAAGTGGGTGTGAGTGTTAGTTAAAAAAAACAAAAACAAAAATAAAACAAGCATTAAGAACAGATTCCACAACTCCCAGCTCTACAGTGGATAGAAGAGTAAAGGATTTTGTAAGGATGTTTCCCTGGAAAAGAATTACTTTGATCTTCCACTCCTCCCAAAGGGAGCTAGAGAGACACAGAAGGCTAGAGAGTCACTGAGGGCTGGGGTCTGACTCCTCCTGAAGGGGTGCAAGTGTCTACGGCTCCCTTCTGACAGTGGATTGCAGGACTAGTCCAAGCAAGATACCCAGCGCTCTAGAGTGATCTTGACCAGCCAAGGAGAATTCTGGAAAGGAGTGAGAAAAAATTCCTATGACAATGAAAAGCATTTCTCCTTCTCTCCTGGGTCTCTCCCTCTCTCCCCTGTCCCCTTATTTTCTGTGTGTGTGTGTAAGGGAGAGAGACTCCCTCTTTACCTCCCTGCCCTGAGTCCTAAGGGGCTGGTAGTGACCTTTGAATCCCTAGGAGAGAAATGGGTGGAGAGAGGGAAGGACTGTGCCTCCTTGTCACAGCAAGTAATAGAGCAGGTCCAAGGCTGGAGGAAGGGTTCTTTAGTAAAGTTACAAGTTTTGACAGTGGTGGTAAACTAAACTTTAAAAATTCTGAACAGAGAGTTTGTGTTTCAGGATGACTGTGAATCTATTAGCAGTCAAGAGTGAGCATGAAAGGTTTCAGGATTTACCCTGTTTTGTCCAGGAACAGCGGGTATTGTGTCATTGAATTTATCTTGAAAGGATGGTGGGAGAAAATGGATCATATTCCTTCAAATGTATTCATTCCATTTGTTAGCATTTTTTTAAGAGAGTAATCAGCAGAAAGTCTGATCAGAAATTTCAAGCCAAGGCAGCTCCTTACCTCCCATTTTCCTGAGCGAATCTCAGGCCCCACCAGCTCTGAGAAGCAGGGGGCAAGGTATCTGATGTCACTGACCTGGAAGCTTAGTAGTCCCTTTTTCTGGGCCCTGGGAATCACTCAGACACCTGATATTTGCACTATTTTTTTTCTCCTTCCCAAGTTCTGGTAGTTTTCAAAGTCCACAGCCATTCTATTTCTAATA